AATTTGGAGACAGGTACCTGTTGGTATGTGAGTTGTTATGCATGAACCAGCTTCGGTTATTATCCACATACATGGCCCAAGCCTTGTCATCTTTTCCTAGCATAACATCTTTGAGAACATCCATTCGGGCAACCCCAAAAGCTGGATCAGGATGGTTGTCATAGCGATCGATGGATAACTCCCAGTAGTGGAGCCCTTTGGAGAAGCCAGTTTTGCCCAATACAACCCGGTCGTCATAGCTGTTGCAGGTAACCGTCAGGTTGTCATTCGAGAAGATGATGTCGGAGTGAGCAGTGCTGGGGTCAAACGAAAACCAAGCCACTGCAATGCACACAAGCGTGGAAGAGTTATCAGTGTGACCATGGTGATAGACAGAGACACACAGTTGCTGCAGAAAGCCTTGCATGCTGCCATGCAGGGGAAGAATTTGGGTCTGCATTCAGTAAAGACCCTCAAAAGGTTTTTGTTGAGTGTTTCTGCAGCAAATCCAAAATGTGGGACAAGAGAGGCAAACTGGGTTGGCTTAAAAAGCAAGAGGGTTAGAAAATGTCTATTCTGGTGTTTTTCAACCGTCAAAACTTTTAAGATGCGCAGACTTCAACTCCCAGAATTACCCAGCCAGCTCCTTTGCTATGCTGGCTGGGGAATTCTGGGAGTTGAAGTCCGCACATCTTAAAATGATCGAGGTTGAGAAACTGTGGTCTGTTCAGAGAAAGCTCTGCTAAAAAGCCTAAAGGGTTTAGTGAATGGGAGTGCTGAAATGAAATGAAAGACCAAGAATGTGGCCACATATTGTACGACATCCACCATGTAAACGATATCACATAGCATCAGAAAGCTAGCATGCCTGGAGCTAACATGTGTAATAATCAACCTGGATTATTCTACCTGTGGATTTTAGCGTTGGAAGGGGGCATTCAGGCCACTGAGTTCAACTGCTTGCTCAGTGCAGGAATCTGGATTAAAATGCACCCCAAATATTTCTTCTCTAACATGGGTCCCACTGTTAAATTGGGACACATCCGCCTAATATTCAGCTAATGGTTTTAGAAGGGGTCACAAACATATGGGTAGACGGTATTACAGATATCCAAGTTAAATCAGCTTTGTAAATTCATAAATCAGCCTTTCATGCACTTTGTGAGAAAATGAACAAAAGCACAGAAACAATACCAGTTCACTCAGGGTTGAGATTTTGCAAAAGTATTGACTGTTATTCTATTCTGATATTTTAAATGCCTTTTTTAAAGTGGCGCCAGGAAAGACAATAAATATTTGAGATACCTGGCAAGACTTCAGATGGTGATGAACCAAGCAAATGTCAGAAATGAAAAAGTCATGTCCTAAGGCAATTTCTATATCACCTCAAACAATATAGAACCATTCCATCAAACCTCCTTATTTGCAGCTACTGTATACTGTATTTACTTCATGGATGTCAGCCAGTGGACCAGAACTTGGTACTGCAAGCAATTGTAATGCTGTGGCTACATTAAATAGCAATAGCATTTAGACTTGTATACCGCTTCACAGTTCTTTTACAGCCCTCTCTCTTCGGAAGGATGGAAGGCTGAGTCAACCTTGAGCCTTGTGGGATTCAAACTGCCAAACTGCTAGCAATCGGCAGTAAGCAGAAGTAGCCTGCAGTACTGCATTCCAACCACTTGTGCCACTGCGGCTCTTGTTTAGTTTCAGAGCTGGAATGGAGTTATATGTTGCAAAATGAGAGGGCAGAGAAAGGCAGTCTGCAGTGTGAAATACAAAGGAGAAATGGTAGCTCTTAAGAGAGGTTTTAACACACCTGACCACCTTCCTTCTTTAATTTCCTTCCTTCCTTATGTAGCTACCTAGCACATTCCACCTGCTTAGTTGAAAAGACACCACAACACAAGAGGAACATAATTCTTGGTGTCATGCCACAAAGATGTAAAATAAACACACATATCCAGTCAATGCCAATCAGTGCAGTTTGCCTATGGACACATGTACACACACATGTTCCTCATGCAAGAGAGCTCATACCTGCTACCATTTTTTTAATATCAACTGTTGTCATTCCAAGTGGAATGCATGAAGGAAAATAAACAAGTAAAATTGGCAATTATACACAAAGCAAAACTTCAAATTATGATCTTTGTAATATTCACACATGAAGGTTAACTGTATCATTTCTCTTTTACTTAGCTCTGCTTCCAGAGCTATTCCATCAGTTGGGTGATAACAAAAACCCAATGTAATTATACAAAAGGAACAATGAAGACCACATAGCTGTACAGATGGGAAGGGAAAGGTATGAGCAAATCAACTTAAACCAGGATGGAAATTTTTTTTTTTTTTGGATCACCTGCCTTTCCAAAAACTCTTTCAGAACCAAGTGAAAATTGAATGTTTCTCAGTTTCCATATGATTTCATACAAAAGAATATCCAGGCCTCAATTTCTGTATTGCAATAGCGGAATCCACACGTTCATTGAATTTGGTTTAATAACTCAGTCACTCCTTCTGGACTGCTTCTGAATCAGTGGTGGGATTCAAATTTTTTTACTACTAGGTTCTGTGGATGTGGCTTGGTGGGTATGGCAGGGGAAGGTTATTGCAAATTCCCCATTTCCTCCCGATCAGCTGGGACTCAAGAGGCAGAGAATAGATGGGGGCGGGGCCAGTCAGAGGTGGTATTTACCGGTTCTCATTCTGCTACTGGTTCTCCAGAACTGGTCAGAACCTGCTGAATACCACCTCTGTTCTGAGTCAATAGTGGGTGAAAGCCATGTTCATTGGCTAAAAATGGAGTCAGGTGTTGAAAAGGAACTTTGAGTTATTGAATGTTGGTGGCACAAGCCACTGATTTCTTGAGGCTTGAGATTTGATTTTTTTTTCTTGACTTGTTACAACTGATCACAACTTTTCCCCAGCCCTATATGAACTTCCAGTCTGCAAACTAAATACAAAATAGATGCATTTCACAAGATGCATCTCATAGACTTAGAATACCCTTGCCTATGCTTGCTTTGGAAGCCAGTTTTGCTTCCTAGTGGTGTAGGATTTTCACTGTAGAATTTCCTCAGCCCTTGTGTCATACCTTTCCCTCTACCTGTGTGCTTGGATTGGTGCTTTCCACTCTCGGCTACTATTTTGAAAATCCCAGTTAGATGACCTAATGAGTAGAAAAGCCTCAAATCTGGGAGGCCCTTACACCAAAAGATAATTCAGGAACCTCTTAGTATATATATTATAGGAGAGTGTTTGGGAATAAATGTAAAATGTATGTAGAAAGCATGCATGATGTTTTGACCACTGAAATGAATGAGAGAGAGTATTGATTAAGTTGTGTATCCATTGGAGCCTGTTGCCTGTTCTCTCTTCAACAAACTAACCCGTGTGATCTTCCAAGACTCTCTCACTTTGAAATCCCCTCCCTGGAATATTCTGCAGTATCACCCTTGTCTCAGAATGGCCACACACCATAGCAGAACAGACATTGTCTTAGACTGAATGTAGATATTTGCACAAACAAGAAAGTTGGAGAAACAAGAGACCAGAATAAAGGGCACAGCACTGAAGTGGAACAGATATACTTGCCTAATTGGGAGAAAGGTCCTGACTGAGTCTCAAAACCTATAAAGAGATACTACATTTCACACACTGACACCAAGAAATTGCAACCAGACGCAAGCAACAGTGGATTAAACTTGCGTTTATCAGGTATACAGGTAGCCCCAGTTTAAGAACAGGTTCTATTCCCAAGGCCTGTCCTTATGTCAAATATGTATATAAGCCAGGACAGTATTATGTTTTAATAGTGTGTAAATAATATTGTGTAATGAACTTCAACCACTGTGTATTTAACTTGAATCACTGAATATTTAACTCTAATTTTGCTACAATGGGCTCCATTCTTAACTATGGATCACCCTTAACATGGGGCATTCTTAACCCTGGGACTTGTTGTACAAGCAAACTGCCAGGTTTACTCCAAAGCCTGAAAACCTGATGTAAAAACAGTGCTGTCTCTGTTTTCCATAGGAGTTGGCCTCTAGATGATCCACATGAACCAGGACATCCAGAATTCCCACTTGGCCTTTGGAGCTAAGTGGCAGCAGAATCACAGCAAATTGAAACAATTGTTCTTCACATTGTGCTTCATTAGTTCAATGAAGATGGAGTGGATCAGTGTAAAGTCTCAGCCATGTAAAATGAAATTTCCACATTCAATGGCAGTGTACCCCAAAGTATCAATTGCTGGAGAACGAGAAGGACAAATGGCTGAAGCTTTGCTTGTAAGGCTTGACCAAAGCATCTGGCATGTCCCTAGGATGGAATGAGGTGCTGAATTGATGGAATGAGCTGCAGAGGTAGATGTTCTTAATACATTGTGGAGTTTAATATACCTGTATTGGAAAGTTCTGCTTTTATTTCCTCCTTTTCCTCCCCTTCCCCCATTAATTTTCTTTTCCAATGAAAGCAGAATTAGAAAGAGTTCCACCCTTTTTCTCTATCATCCTTATGTACTTTTCCCCTCTGAGCATTTAGACTTGAAAACAATAATGTACTCAGAAGTAAGCAATTGTATGCATAATTTAGTTTGCATAAATGTGTGCTCAGAAATGTGGCGGTAGAACTTTGCACATGAATATGGAAAATGCAACACAGCCCTGTTTATAAGGATCCCATAAGGCCTTTTAAACGATTATGAATCTTTACCAACTTGGAAAATTGTGAACTCATATATTATACAGTACATTTTCTCCATAAATAGCACAAAGAGAAGCACACATTTTCAATTTGGAAATGAGGCCCTCCAACCACCGTTCCCTTCCAAACATTCTGCCCACGTTAATATTAGACTCCTGCAAAATAAATAAATTCCACATACAGGAAAACAGAAAGCGTCATTAACACTTAGTAGACCAGACGAGAGATCGAAACATTCAAGTATGAAAATGTTGAAAGCCAAGGCAATGGGATGCAGAACCCATAAAAGCACAATGGGGAAACAGTATAACAAAGATAACAAAGGCCAGGGGGTGGGCCCCTGGGTAGCTGCATTGCTCCTCCTTTGAAAGCACAGAGGTGTCAGAACTAAGTTCCTTCATTTATGACAATATCTGGATGGAGCCAATAGTGGGGTAAGCTAGTAATCCAAAATGGAAAGGAAAAGCAAAGACACTGGCTGTTGTGTAGAGCTAATCATAACTGCAGAGGGTCCTCAACTTTGCTGAAGTCTCAGGGCATATATTAAGGGCTGATGGCTTCATATACACTTGGGAACCTCGATAGTCTGACTCTGGATCTAATTTGTCCACACACTCCTCGCTTAGGGCCCATCAGATTTCCAGTCCTACCTGCCTTTCTTGTTTTATGACTGATCCCACTCACTGTGGCAGTCATTTAATGTTGAAAGCACCCTCCCCCACCTCCCCAGAGCTTCTGTAGTCCCTACCATATATTCTGGACACTCCAAATGTACCTGCTGGCTTAAAAGGTTAAAGACCTCTAGGAAAATCCAATAACTCTGCATATCTCGGAAAGAAGCAGGAGGTTATGACTTCAGACAAAAGCAGAGAGCCAATATCTAGAATTGCTTTCCTTCTCTGGGGCATCCACTTGCTAAAGATTGAAAAATGACAGGATTTGGCATTACAGAATGATTTCTATTATATTTTTAAAGAACATATTCTGATTAGGCTGCCTTCATCTCATTTCCAGTTTAAAATCATGTTTTCCCACTTTTCCAGACACATTTTTTTTTTGCTGTTGACATGATACATACAGCAATTCCTCAAGAAAATTGTTGATAACCCAGACATAGAGTGAGATGTGCCCAGTTCTCATTGGCCATTTTAGGTTTCTCTAGATGCTGGGCATTGCCTTTCATGGCCAACTTTGATTTGGACTGGAGAGGGTCCTGGACATCTGGCTTCCACAGAGGTGTCTTTCTAAAACAGGGGTGTCAAACTCAAGGCCCGGGGGCCAGCTCCACCTGGAAACAGTGAAGTACTGGCCCGCAGTGCCTCTGCCAGTGAAAACGGAGCTCAGGAGTGATGCATCCATTTTCATTGGCAGAAGGTTGCAGGATGCCATTGCAGCAAAAAATGGAGCCCACGAGGGCCGTATGTGGCCCTCCCGAGCTCTGTTTTCACTGGCAGAGG